TATGACTTAACAGTGAACGTGTTTCGAAATCTGGATGTGGCTATTTCACACAGAGGTGAACTCTTCCTGCTTTTTTTTTGTAGACTTTTAAGGAAAAATATCGATTCGGTTTAAAGAAAATTGAACTTTTCGCGTTTACATTTCACTCACTATTGTAGATAAAATCGGATTTTTGAGCACCATACGTTTTAACAAACAATGACAATACAAATAATAAATAGCAACGCGCATCAGACTAGCCGGTGCGATCATGCGTTTTGTGCAATTCAGCTCATCGAATGATTGCTTATTAATGATTTTCACTGCTTTGTACTTTAGTCTATGCAAAAATAGTTGAGACATTGCAAAACAGTTAAAAATTTCACGCACCTGCGCATGAAAGCTGAATTCGAAACGTTGAGGGGTGAATATCTTTTCGTGATTCTCGAGTTAATAGTTTACCCGCCAAAATTTTCACGAGGCAGTAGGTGGTATCCGAGAGCGCGGGAACGCTGAATTTGAATTTATAAGGTCGTACGTGGGCAAGAGTTTATTATTCTGAAATTTCAACTTTGTAGACTTTGCGGTTCCCGAGATAATAATTTACTCGTCAAAAATTTTCGCGGGGCCATACTTGTTGCCCGCGGGCAGGGAAAAGTTGAATCTAAATTTTCTGAATGGCACATGGGTAGGGGACATACTCACAAAATTTCAGCCTTCTACCTCCCGCATTTCCCGAGATACTGCTTTTACCCGAAAAACTTTTACGGGGCCGTACGTGTTACTCGCGGATGCGGGAAGGCTGGATTTAAATTTGCTGTGTCACCCGTTGGCGGGGAACACTATACCAAAATTTCGGCCGCCTAGCATTTTTGGTTCCCCAGTTGAAAGTGCAGGACAAAATGTGGGACGCACAAACACACATACAGACAACCCAGTGACGATATGCGTTTTGCACTGCTGTTTCACAGCACAGAACGCATAATAACAAGAGCGGTAATAACGGTAATGATAATGTTTGGGAGAAAATGGCAAAATTGCTAGCGGCGTGTTATCAGCGATAGTAACAGTAACAATAATGCGGCAGCAATAATAATAAATTGCCTTTAGTCAAAGCTCACAATTTATTTCGTATTCACTTTCTTTGCAAGACGGAAGCAGATGAGAAGTAGTCCATGTGGAAGCGGATACCAAGAGAAAGCGTTAGTTTGCCAGGATATCGATGACTACTTTCTTTCAAGAGTTTCTTTGAAGCAAGCTGATGGCGAGTTTGACTTTCTAGCATACGCTAGTGCTGATTTACCGTTGAAATGAATGAACGAATAATAGAAAAACTGCTTGTCCTGTTGGCGTATTTGCTCGATTTTCGACATTCTGCGTGACAAAAATGCTACGTCCTACTAGAAGAAGCTGCGTCCAGTAGAAAAATAAAATAGAAAAACATGACGCGAGTCGACTGAAAGATATGTAATCAGGACAGCTTCATCTGAGCTCCAATTTTTGTAGGGAGACAGTACGTGGTAAATGATAAGCTCTTATCAGTAGTTATAAAACGATTTCAGCTAGGGGATTGGGTAGTTTGAAAAATGTAGTATGCATCTCGTGATTTTATAGCTCTCCGGATGGTTATGTTTTTTAGCTTTTGGAAATTTATGATTTTCGCTGCTGCTGAAAAGTTTCGATATTTACTTTTGATAGTGCAGTCTCACTGCGTTTGGACTCAGCACTCCCGCATTCCTGCCGATTTCCACAAAACTGAGGGCCGGGACTTAGGAAGGGGTTTATATAGGGGAAATTAATGGAGGGAAAAGGAGGGCAAATTAGTTAGGGAGTGGGAAGGTAGGTAATATGGAATCATTTAGAATTTGGTGGAATTGTTAGAAGTTAATGAGTGGAGGGAAATAGGTCGAAGTGTTAAGAATTAGTGGGAGAAGGGAATTATAGGTTTCGCAGAAAAAGAAACAAAATTCATTTACACGCTGTGCTGTCGTCTGTTTTAACTGAGAATGTTTTTTGAAGCGGATGTATACATGCAAACCCAGCTGCAAACGTTTTACAGTCTTGTTGAAACGCCAGTGCATCGTTTGAATTGTCCTTTGCAGTACTCTTTTTCAGCGCCTGATGTTTCAATGAGCACAGATATCAGCAGTCTAGCAGTGAAATTGACCACCGACTTTTATCGTTTGTTGCGCGGTTTCCTGTCGATGAACCTCGGGGAAGCTTTGGTGCCAGTGCCCGAAACAATACCTATCGAAGTGCTGCAGGAACCTGCCCAACTCTATGTAATTTTTGCTTCGGATTTTTTAGTTGGATTTTTTTTTTCATGAAAACGCCTCCAGCTACTTTTCTGTAGTCTTTAGAGTAAGCTGCAGCTGTCTGTAAATCTAATTTTTTGGGCTCATCCTGTCACTCTCAGGGGATTGCTTGCTTGCCCAGGACAGAAGCTTTACTGCGACTCGGAATTGCGCTCAGAAGCTTCATTTACTAGGGGACTTTTTCAGTCAGTTACACGCTTTCAAAACATTTTGACACCCCAATTTATTCTTGTAAAATCAATTCGACTTCCGTAATTGTGAAACCACATTTAATCATAAAAGTTCTATAAATTTAGCGGAATCCTCGTCTGTTGATTGACTTCGGTATGCTAAGTTTGTGATTAGCACCTCAAAATGCATGAAATCAAAGTTAAAAGCACGTGTCAAGATTATTTGCATTTTGGAAGTTCTCTTGGGCTTTTTTCTTACCAAACACCATTATTTGTAAAGTGGTAGAGGTATCGTATTAATTGTAAAATCATGGATCGTATTGATCTTTCACAAGTGCTGTGCAACATTTCAGGAAGTTATTGGTGCGAGCAATAAGTATGCCTCTTTTTCGTTTCGGATGGCCCTCTCGAATGTTGAGGTAAGGAAAAAACACAAAATATCCATTTGAAAAACCTTCAGCTCTAACTAATTAACTTTCATTCACCAGACAAGTCACCCTTCTGAGCAGCGCCAATCAAAACAGATTGTTACGTAGGCTGCAACGGTCTCCATACCACTTTTGTGGTTTGGAAAACGGACTTATCAGCTGAGCAAAGTTCGTATATTTGAAAACGATGATCGTAAAAGCCTGATAAGTTACAGTTCAACTGTTTCGTGCCACGCGCCAACGAAGCTTCTCCTCAAGGATTTGACCCATTTGCAAGCGTGAGGCTAAACAGCGCGCGTGTTTCGTTCGATGTATTCATCGACAGTCAGTCTGAGCTGGACCTCATCTGCGAGAACATGGAACTCATCGACACTCGCTTCTTACGTCAGTTTTGCTCCTATCACTTTATTGTTAAGCGGACTTATGTTACTGATAAATGAACTGGTCAGCAGAAGCAGCAGCGGTTCATTCGTTGCTCATATTCGCGCCATCAGTGCAATTTAAAGCCCTCTAAAATGATTGCTGTGATCGTAGCGGCATCACTGAGTAGCGAATTAATTCTTCGAGGTCCTGGGCTTTCTTTTTCCCATCGGGTATTGCTGAATGTACCT